GACGGCGGCGGCGACGACTCTAGCGGAGGCATGTGTGGTTGCCGCCGCGGGGGAAGAAACATGTTATACTCATTGTTGGGGCTCCAATCCGTCAAGAAAGCGGCAGACAAATTAAGTAGTTTCCCATTATTGCCCAGGGGGGGTTATCAAAAACCCTTCAGGGTTACCCCGTTTCCCCTTCCAGGCGTAACCAAATCATACCACGCGCTTACTCGTCAAGCAGCCTGACCGTTGCGAGCCACCCCAGGGGTATCGGTCAAAAGCGAGGCAGGTACGTTTGCCAATCATTATAGGCCCGTACATGGCCTCGCATACCACCCCGTCCCCCCTCCCCCACGCGCTTCCGCACGCGCCGAGGCGCGCGCGCTGGTGGTGGATGAAGTGTGAAGTGCAGTAGCAAGGGTGTTCACGCTTCGGTCGGTTCGGTTGCGTCGAAGTCGGTTGCGTTCGGTCGGCTCGAGTCGGTCGGTTAATGTGTCGTCGCTGCGTCGCTGCGCCCTTCTAGGCTGCTTTTTGCCTGTCCATTCCGGTTGTTTTCGGGCTCGCTGTCGGTTCGGTCGATTTTCGATTTCGTTGTCGCCGCGCACGGCCTTGAGTAGGAGGGTTGAGGTGGGAGGAGGAAATATGAGGAGGATGGAGGGGGATGAGGGCAGGAGGCGGAGGAGGGCAGGAGGGGGGCAGGAGGAAGAGGGGGGACGAAGGAGGACAGAGGCGGACAGAAGAGAGGAGGGCAGGCGGAGGGCTTGAGAATGGAAGGACCCCCCGCGCACAGGTTCGCACGGACGCTGACCTGGAGGTCTAGCACGTTCAGCCAGACGTCCGTGACGCAGGCGGGCCGCGGGATTCTCGTGCGTCGCCGCAGCCGCCGCAGCCTCGGGCCGGGGCGCGAGAGCGTTCGACGACGACTCGGGATAAGAGGGAGGAGGACGAGGAGGCGGAAGAGCGGCGGATGAGAAGAAGGTGCGGGAGGATGGGAAGAGCCAGGAGGAGGGGGAGGAGGGGTCGGGGTGGAGGGGCCGGGGAGGAGGGGGGAGAGGGGGAAGGGGAGGGGGAGAGGAGGAGGGTTCGTGGCAAGGAGGCGGCTCCTGCAGAGGAAAGAGAGGTGAGAGAGGAGAAAGGGGAGCAGGAGGAGGAAAGGAGGAGGGGGAGGTAAAAAAGGGAGGGGCGGAGGAGGAGGAGGAAGAGGAGGAGGGGAGGTTGAACACGGGGGGGAGGGGCCAGACTGGTGCGCTCGCGCCATCTCTGACCTCACGCCCATCCCTCCCATCCCTTGCCATGGAGATGGCTCGCCTCAATTCGCAGTGTCAGAAGGCAGAGATCACGAAAGGGCAGCGTTGTTCAGGAGGGCTCCGGGGATCAAGAGATGGGAAGGGTATGAACGAGGCGGAGGAAAACTAGGAGGGGCATGAAGGAGGCGCAGGGGAGGAGGTGGGATGAGGAGCTGTAGTGGACGGGGCAGGAGGCCGAACGGAGGAAGACGACGAAGAAAGTAAACCATATTTCTGCAGGTGGCAAACGCTGCAGCGGGAGCTACGGTTTTGCCCATGCAAGAGTACTGCCAGCGTTGCGGTGAGAGCGCGTCCCATTGGCGAGCACTCAAATGAGGCTTCAAAGGCGTGGCAAGCGTTCCAGCGGAAACACCATGCTTGTGGATGCAAGAATACGACCAGCGATGCGGCGAGAGCGATGTTCTGTTGGACGGAAAGATCTAAGTATGGCCAGCGTTGCAGCCAGAGCGCAGTTCTAGAGTGGCCGAACACTTTCTGACTTGACAAGCCGCATCGGAAGTCACGCCTGGGCCTTCATCTGTGTGGACATGCAGCATACAAGATAGGCAGCCGCAAACGCAGACAGCAAGTGGGGAGAGAGGATATTGTTTTCACATGGCGTGCTTGTGAAGGAAGAGGAGAGGGAAGATCAGGTCCGAGGAGCTGCTTCGCCGTTCTCGGCTCTGGAAGCTCCTTTTCGGGCCCCGGGCTGTCAGACATCGATCTTGTGTGAGAAAGTGTTCCAGGATGTACCCCAGGAGCGGTCCATGGCCACGTTTCGAGCGGATGTTGCCCAGGAGATGGAGCGAAGGAGGAGAAGGAGGAGGAGGGGGAGAGAGAACGCAGCAGAGAGGTGTGTGTGGGGGGGGGACAAAGGACTGGAGTATATTGAATCCAGTGGTAATCTGCGGAGACCGGCTGGCTGGGGTTGAAGGCCGGGAGGGGTGGTTTCCCCCCGACAGGGGGAGTCGTTTCCGTCGCGGCGAGATCTCACTCGTGGGGGTGAGGGCGAGAAGCCGATTGTAGACAGAGAGTGGTGGCAGCTCTGTAATGCGAGGCGGGCCCGCAGAGAGGAGGGGGGAGGATCAGGAGACCTTCAAGTAGAGGGCAGGCAACATGTTTCCGCTACTCGGCCAGCAGCTGGCGGATCGAATGATAAGGGTTAAACCAATCAATGGATGAGGGGGTGGGTACGCAGTGCAGGGACCTTGGTGCACCCATCAGCTGTCCCATAAAGTCCGAGGCAGATACCTCTTCCTCCTCCTCCTGGTTCCTGGTGGCTTCGGAGTTTCGTGAACGCAGCCTCCTCTTCCTCCTCCCCATCATCATCAGCAACAACAGCAGCATCATCATTATCTTCCCTCCTCTCTCTTCCTCCATCTCCTCCACCCTCTCTTCCTCCTCCTCTTCCTCGTCCTTTCCCCCATGCTTATTATCTTTCTCCTTCGCGAGCTAATGCACTTATTTTCTGCTCGCTCGTTCTCTTGAAGCCTGGCCAATACGACCTGGAAAGCCCTGGCAGGGGTTGCCCCGCAAGCCACGGACAGGGGGAGGAGGAGGAGGAGGAGGAGGAGGAGGAGGAGGAGGGGAAGGATGCAGGATATGAGCTTCCTTAGGGACCGAGGAGCTGGCTCTCTATCATGGAAATGTGCAGCATAGCCGATCCTGAATCATCAGCCACTTGCCCTAGAGGTCTGGCAAACGGCCGCGCATGCAGCAGTAAAGATCTGATTAGCGAAGCACTGTGATGCGGATAGGCCAGTGGTGCACCCAACAGCACAAAAGCATTTGCGCGGATAAATCGGCACACCGAAATCATTGTGGCGTGGAAAGGCGGAGCTGGCTCAGACGGCGGAAAAAAGAAAAGGTAGGGACGCTAGATCCAGGAACAAGGTTCAGGGGCGGCTTTTGTTTTCTGTTTGCCTCCGGAGGGCTCCAGCGAGCTCGGGGGCCCTTCCAAGGGAAGTCGGTCAATGGGTAAACCGCTGCTTCCAGCGGTCTCACATCTTGAGCAGCGTCGTTGCGGTCTGGCAGAGGAGGCCTGCGAGCCGAGAGAGTGGGTGCGGGGAGGGGGCCTTTGGTGCCTGCTCCCTTAGCTGCGCCGAGCATCGACGACAGCTGTCCGGGAGCACTGCCATCGGATTTCCGAGCTCTGGACCTGGAGGAGGTTTCGCGTGACGGGGGTGACGGCAGATGGGGGGGGGGATCGAGAGGGGGATCGAGACTTGCAGGTGAGGGGCTGTAAAGGAGCCCCCCGTAGGCCCAGGGCACGCTGGCCGCTGGCCCGGCCAGGGTCCCAGGCCGGCCTGGGCGTCGCTCCCTCTCGCTCTCGGCCCACGGGTTCCCCAGTACGCCAGGATGGTCCGCACGACCCGAGGCCGGGCCCGAAGAGAGCTGGCCGACAGGATCGCGCCCCGGCAGCCTATTGCTGCACGTCTGGCCCCGGGAGGTTCTCTCTGGCGACAGCAGCGGCCACCAGGAGGCAGTGCGCTGCCACACGTCTGGCCACCGAGGCTCGTGCAGGGCAGCGGCAGCAGCAGCCCCCAGCCCAAGGAGTATTCTGACAGCTGTCGATCAAGGGCGTTCTTTGCAACGAGAAGGGGCCAGTCATTGGCACGCCCCTCACTTCATGAGGTCGGGGACCCAATGCTGACTACCTGGCAGCGTCGCGGTCTGGACCCCTTGTCCGAGACCTCCCCTACCCAACGACCTCACGGCCAGCTGAGTATATGGTCTACCGTGGGATGCCTTCTCGTCCTTGTGATGGACTCTAGCCCATTCGCATGAACTCCGAACGCGTCGGCAACTTTGGCGTAGACGCGCGTCGCCGTTCTGGCTGCCGAGGGTGGCTTGGGAGAGATGGCTGTTACAATAATCAAGCTTCCCAGTGAGCCTTCTGAGAATGATCCAGCATGGGATCTAGAGGAGGGAAGGTACGAGTAGGAGGAGGAGGAGGAGGAGGAGGAGGAGGAGGAGGAGGGGGAGGTGGAGGTGGAGGAAGAAGAAGAGGAGGAGGAGGAGGAGGAGGAGGAGGGGAAGGAGGGAGGAAGCAAGAGTGATGGGAAAGAGGAGGAAAGAGGGGGGAGGCAGGACGGATGAAGGGGGGAGGAGGAGAAGGAGAAGGGGGAGGAGGAGGGGGAGGAGGGCGAGAGGGGGAGGGAGGGAGGGAGGGAGATCGGAGGAGGAGGAGGTGGAAGAGGAGGAGGAGGAGGAGGAGGAGGAGGAGGAGGAGGACCAGTGTAAACCTCAGGGTCATCAGCGCTGTTGGAGTAAGCCCTCCCTCCAAGCTCCCTCCTCCCAGGCCTCTACAACAGTTCATCTCCAGTGATCGAACTGCCTCGTTGGAAGATACCAGTTTGAAGACCCTGAAGCATGCCAAAACATTGTTCTCGGGATTCCAACGCCACGGATCAACCTGACCTTTGCGTCTTGGCGATCCTGAATCGTGCCAGCAAGCCATTCCTAGGACTTCTACACAGAGAACCCCCACAAAGTCCGGAATCCTTCCTACTCGCCATTTCTGCTACGTTAATGTTGGGAATCCGCGAAACTCTGGCACTTGTGTAACACGAATGTGCGCCGCGCTCAGGCGAGAGCCACATTTTGAAAATAATCCGCCCTGAATCCGAGAAACTCTTGCAATTGTTTAACACGAATGCGCGCCGCGTTAAGGCGAGAGCCACATTTTGAAAACCACCCGTCCCCTAATCCGTGAAGCTCTTGCAAATTGCAAAACGAATGTGCCACCCGCCTTCAATCCGTGAGACCTCTGCAAGTGTTTAAAACGAAAATGCGCTGCGCTATGGCGAGAGCCACATTTAGAAAACCACCCGCCCTCAATCCGTGAGACTCTTGCAAATGTTTAAATCGAATGTGCGCCGCGCTAAGGCGAGAGCCACATTTTGAAAACCACCCGCTGTCAATCCGTGAAGCTCCTGCAACTGATTAACACGAGAACGCGCCGCGCTAAGGCGAGAGCCACATTTTGAAAACGACCCGCCCTCAATGTGTGCAGCGTTGCTAATTGTTAAGCCTTAGAGCCATAAGTCGTGAGGAAGTCTCAGGCGAACCGGTCGGCCCGCCCTAGAAACTTGCGTCGAGGTGCGACAGGGAAAAATAATTCACAAGGAAGAGAGATGGAGCCAGGAGGAGGGACGAGGGAGGAGGAGAAGGAGGAGGAGGAGGAGGAGGAGAGGGTGGAGGAGGAGGAAGATGAGGAAGAGGAGAAGGAGGAGGGAGGAGGAAGAGGCACGTGGGGCTCGAGGAGGAGGAGGGATGAGGGACGAGCAGGAGGCTCAGGAGCAACAGGGAGAGGGGTCTGGCCCGGGCCGGCAGGTGCACGAGCCGCCAGCCCTGGCTGGCGGCCTAGACCTGCCCAGCGGTCGCGGGCTGCCGGCGGAAAGCCCCCAACGGGTGGCCCACCAGAGGGGCCCGGGCCGGCGGGCGTTTCAGGAAAAAGTTTGTGGCGTGAGGGGGGCGAGGAACGGGAATAGGGATGAGGGAAGAGGGAAGAGGGAGGAGGAGAAGGCATTGGGAGAAAAAGCAGGAGAGTGAGCAGAGAAATGATGATGATGCTGATGAGGAGGAGGAGAAGGATGAGGAGGAGGACTTGCTTATTCGGACTTGCTGGAGTTACTCCGGCACATGGGCCGCTTAAACACCCCGGTGTGGACAAGCAGCCGCCCCGCTGGGCCTGCGGCTGCCTCACCAGGGATGTCGGGCGTCGCCGCGGTGCGGCCCGTCCTCCTCCCCAGAGGATGATCAAGGAACGGGGCAGGCAGGGGGGGGGCGGGCGGGGCAGGACGAACACCGACCCCGCGCGGCGGGCGGCGAGGCGGCGCCTGCGCCCGCCCACCGCGTGTGCAGGCGGTGGCGCGCCGTGTGGGGGGGGGGTCATTTGGGGGAGGGCGGCAGGGAGCGGCGCCGAGGCAGAAGGCGTTGGGCCTGTCTGGCGCGGAAGTCGCGGGCAGTTTTTTGCCGGGTTCAAACGAATTCGGCAGAAAACCGCTCAGGACATTCGCCGTGTCTTGGCTCCCGGGGCCTTGCTCCGGCGTCGTCATAGCGCCGCCTGGGACTCCGCCGCGGCTGGGGCGGGGAGGTGGGAGGTGGAGGTTGGGGGGAAGAGGAGGACGCGGGGCGTCGGGAATTGCGGCCGCGACGCTGCCTGAACTGGCGGGCCCCCCGCGGGAGTGGGGCGGGGAGGGCGCCCGACCGCGCCTTCCCCCCGCGCGCCCCGCGCCCCCGCCCCGCACCCTGGCAGGGTTTTTTCTCACAGCGTACCGGCGCCGAGGGCGTGCGCCACAGCGGCAGCGGTCGCGCCGACCAGGCGCGCCTTCGGCTCCAGCTCGCCCAGGTCCGCCGTGTCGCGCAGGGCCCAGGCCGGGAGCCCCTCGGGCACGGGCGGGCGGCGGGCGCGCGCCGCCTCCCTCGACCCACCGACAGCGGTGCAGGTGGCCAGAAGGTGCTGCAGGCCAGAATTTACGCCCCCACACTCAGAGCGTGAATTACCTACCCCGCTTTCGCTTCCAGGCAAAACCAAGTCATACCACGCGCCTCCTCGTCAAGCGGCCTGACCAGTACAGGCTGCAATTTGGCATCGTTTGGTATCTCTTGGAGGCGAGGGTGGTCAAAAGCGAGGTAGGTTTGTTTTCCCCCTACACACAGCCGGCAGGGCGCCTCGGACGGCGGCGGCGTCACGCCCCCAGACCGAGGCGGGGGCGTCGCCTGTAACCCTCGCCGCTGCCCACGCGCGGTGGAAGCGCCACGTGGCGCGGCCCCACGGCGCCCAGCGGATCGACTGCGGCCATGGGCTGTCGAAGGGGCAGCAGGTCTCCGAGGGAAAGCAGTCCATCGTCGCCCATGGCGGGCGACCTGCTCGGCGAGCCACTTCGCCTCCGCAGCCTCGAGCAGGGGGTCGCGAGCACTGCGAGCCCACGCTAGCACGGCCGCGCGGCGGGCCAGGGGGGTCGCTTCCAGCGGCGCGGACGGCCAGGTGACGACGCCGAGCTCTCGTGCCACGCGGTCGGCGTGGCGCAGCCAGGTGATGCCTGCTGCCTCCGCCTGGGCCGCCCCGATGGCTGGCCCTATCGGTGACGCCGAGGGGGGAAACATGATGCGCGCCCGCGCCAGCGCGACCCGTCGGGTTCGCCGCGAGCCCACGCGGGTTAGCAGCCGCGTCTCAAGAATAGGCCCGCGCCTGGCCTCCAGTCCGTAGGGAGAGCCTCGCTGCCGGACTCGCCAGCAGGGTCTTCGCGACATCGTAGTATGCGCGGTCGAGGCGCGAGGGCACGCTGGACCAGCCAGCGGCGCAGGAGGCGAGGAGTTCGGTCCCAAAGAGGGCCCCCGACTCAACGCGAACGGGCAGCTGCGCCACCTGCAGGGGCGCGCCGAACCCCAAGTCCGCCATGGCAGTGAACAACTTCCTGGCCCCCTCGCGCAGCTTGGCGCACGCGCTGTCCAGGAGGGGCTGTAGGGACAGCGAGTCGTCGATGGGGATACCCAGGCACTCCAGACTCGAGCCTGCTCTCAACGGGACGCCTCGGATGTCGCCGCACCGGCCCGCATCCGGCGGCGCTCCGCTAAATTACTGCCATGACCGCGGGCCCCTTCTCCGCGCCCCCCTGGAAACGATGGCGGCGCTGCTCGCAGAACAACCCCATGCCCCTACACGCCGCGGCCATGCCCTCCTCGCTTTCCTGGGCGACGAAGGAATCGTCGACGAACTGGAGCTGCAGGAACGAGCGCGCCGCTGCGACCCCTCTGGCAGCGCCAGGAGGGATGGGTCGGGCGGCCGCGTCACAGGCATCCCGAAGGCCTCTCACCAACGCCCCGAAAACATGGGTGCCCGCGCGCCTTCCCTGACCCACGCTGTAGTCCAGGAGGGTGATGGCAGTGGACACGAGCGGCCCGAGCCGGGCGCGGACGCGCTCCTCCCCCATGGACGAGTCGGCGGCGAGCCAAGCTCTACCGCGCAGGCCTGCTGCTCGCAGTTGCACCCGCACCGCGTCGCGCCACGCGAGGTCATAGCCATGCAGGCGGTCGGCCTTGAGGAGGAGGGTGCGGAATCCGGCTGCGACGCGGAGCTGCAGCACCAGCAAGAGGCCCCTTGCCATCAGCATGGGGTCGTAGCGCCCTCCGCCATGGGCGTCGCCCGCGAAAGCCTCCAGCGGCTCGCGCACCGCGGACAGCCACGCTGCGTCGAAGATGCCCTCCAAGTCGCCGACGTGCGATATTGGCCGCGTGAGCGCGAGCGAGGTGACGACGGCTGAATTCCGCTTTCGCACGGGTGCTCCCTCTCGCTCCCACAGGGCCGCGTTGAGACCGCAGCACATGACTAGGTTCAGGATGGCCCACGTTAAGAGCCTCCCAGCACGGTCCTCGGCTCTGACGGCTGCGCGAGGCAGATGTAGGGTCTGGCGGTTCGGTCGTGCCGCCTGCGCGGCCGCTTCCACCTCGTCAACAGAGAAGGCGTCCCCCGTCTCCTCCGCGGTCTCTTGGAGGTCCTCTGCGCGGATCCGTCGGACCTCCTCGGCCACCGCCCTGCCCGCGTGCTGCGGCGGGGGGCCATTTGCTAGGCCGCGGTTCTGCACGTCCTCGAGGAGGGCGTCCAGGGTGGCAGCAGGCCCCAGGCGGTCCCCAGTGCTAGGGTCCGTGAGCGCGAGCCGTAGCGGCGCGCGCGGCCGCAGGAGGCGGCTCAGGAAGGCGTCGCCCGCCCCAGGCGACTCCGCTGCTATGTGCAGGTGCCTGTCGAGGTTCCTGGCGCGCGCCGCTGCCAGCGCGCTGGACTCCGCCACCGCTTCCTGCGCCGCCTCCTCGAGGGCGTCCGCCGCGGGCGCGACGTGCTCGCGGCGCGCCCGCGCCGCGGTGGTCGGTTCTGACCGCCTGCCGGGGCGGCGCCCACGGGCGCCTCCATCGCGCCAGGGAGGCGGGCGACCAGGCACGCGTGGTCCGCCAGGATGCCCGGCGACCCGGGCTGGACCATTTCCAATGGGATCGATAGCCTTGGGGACGCGGCGAAGGTGTCGACGATGGAGCCCGACCGGTGCGTGGGCACGTGGGGCTTGTGGTGGATTTCAAACCCGAGATCCGCGGGCGCCGTGAGCCACCCCGGGACTTCGCGGTCCAGTGGTTGCTCCATCCTTGGGTTGACGCGGCCGCCGAGGTAGGCGAAGTGGACGTTGGCGTCCCCCGAGAGGAGCAGAGGCTCCAACCGCGGCGTTGCAGGAGCGCTCTGAGGGCACGCCACTGCGCGAGGCGCCTCTCCCAGGACTGGCGCCAGGACCGCGCCGTACCCGAGTGCGGGGCGCACACGGCGAGTAAGAGGTACCCTGGGTCGCTGGCCCCCTCGCCTGGGATCTGCACCCAGATGGCTCGCTCGTCACCGTGAAAAAGGCATCTGGGCCACGCGCTCGTGGAACGGCGCGGCGACGAGGACCGCGACGGTGGCGGGGGAGGCGGAGCGCTCGCCGAGGAAGACGTACTGGTGGTTCGGCCTTTCCATGCTAGGTGCCAGCCGGGGCTCCCCGATGATGGCTACCACCGCCCCAAGGTTCGATAGCGCGGCTCAGAGAAGGGCAATGTTGTCATTCTGGCCCTCCCCCCCTGCTCTGGTAGCCAGGGCGCCGCCCACGTTCATGGCCACGACGACGACCAGGCATCGGGGGCCAGGCGCGGCCGGCTACGGGGCATTCCGTCGCGGGCAAGCCACCCTCCCAGGAACCATGGGCGGCGTTCCGGGGGAGCCCCGAGGCGGGCTGCCTGGCCCGGTCGCCCATCTCTTTCGCGAGGTTGACCACGGCGGCGTCGAGCACGCCCCACTCCTGGAGCGGTTCTGGGAGGAGAAGGAGGAATGGGAAGGAGCAGGATCAGAATGAGGAGAGTGTGAAAGAGGAAGAGGAGGAGGAGGAGGAGGAGGAGGAGGAGGAGGAGGAGGAGGAGGAGGAGGAGGAGGCGGCGGAGCCAGGAGGAGGAAAAGGAGGAGGGGGAAGAGGAGTGAGGATGAGACACCCCTATGGGCCCTCCCCCGCTTCTGTGTTGCTGACGCGCGACAGCTGCAGCTGCCGCCGCCGCCGCCCTTTCCAGCAGCCGCGCCACGCCGAGAGCTTTCTGTGGGTGCCCCGATCGTCCGGAACGGCTGCCGGAGGGCCGAGTTATGAGCCGAAAGTTTTGGGCAACGACCGGGGGGAGGAGGAGGGATCCCTCCTCCTCCCCCCTGTTGTTGCCCAGTGTGGGAAAGTTGCAACGCCCGGACAGAGTCCTCGAAGATTGAGATCTGGGCGTTGCAACTTTTCCACACCGGGCGTCTTCGCCTGGCTTCGGGCCCTGGGGCCACACCACGGATCGATCCGGCCCGGAGTATGCCGCAGGAAGATGGGGTTTTGGGCTCTGGTCGTGATTTTTCGCGGTGCCGCACGCTTGTTGTCGCACCGTCGGAGCTGAGAGGGGGGGACTGTGCTGGTGCCCGCGCCAAAGCCAGGGAGGGAGGATGGGTCGGACAGGGCTAGGACGAGGATGAAACCGTTCCAGAGCGTTCCCGAATGCTCTTAGAGCGTTCCGGAACGCTCTGGGGAGGCCGCGGCGCCCGAGACATCCCCCATGACCGCTGGACCTCAGAGATTCTCGATTTATCCTCACCCGAATTGATCCTCGTCCTGGCTTCGTCTGAAGGGGGGAGCCCTAGGGAGGGAGGGCGGTGCCTGGAGGTGGGGGGGGGAGGGAGGGGTATGTTGCAGGGCTGGGGGGGAGGAGCGACGAGGGAAGACGAGGCACGAGCGGCGAGGGAGCGAGGAGGAGGAGCGAGGAGGAGGAGGAGGAGGAGCGAGGAGGAGCGAGGAGGAGCAGGAAGAGGCGGACGGGGGACGGAGGACGGAGGCAGAAGCCACGAGCGAGGAGCAGGAGGAGCAGTCAGGATCAGGAGGAGGAAGAGGAGGCAGAGGAGCAGGAGCGCAGGAGCGTAGGAGAGCAGGAGCGGCAGGGGGAGGAGGCCCCGCCAGATCGCCACGAGGGCCTCCTGCCGACCTGGTGGGGTGCCAGGGGGCGGCGCTCGGCGGCCAGGGCTTGGCGCTCGACGGCCTCGGCCGCCCCCGTGGGGCCTCTGGCGCCCTTCGGGGGGGAGGGGGGGCCCTCCTCGGGGGGGGGCCTTTGAGCGCCGCGTTCTTCACCCGAGCTGCCCTTCCTCGCCGTGCCCTGGTCTTGACATGCGCCTCCAACCCAGCGGCGCTCCTGCGGCCGAGGCGCCCTGCAGACACGGCGGACGGTCGATGGCGTGTGGTCAGCGCGGCGCGCCGCGGGTGCTGGCCCACCTCGCTGCGGCGCGACACGCCGTCCCAGGGCGGGAGCTAAACAGCTAAACTGTGCTTTGGCGATCTCGTGGACCGTCTTCGTGTGGATCTCGTCGTGCAGCCACGGTGGAACGAAGCGGGACCGAACGAGAACGAAACCAGAACGAAGATGGAAGATACTGTCTAGCCCGCGCTGCGCCATACATGTCTCGGCTGCCAAGCGTGAGCGTCTCGAGTTTTTCAAAGCCTTTCGCCCGGCTGAGCGGGGCAACGCGCTATCCGGTATCAGGGCATACCGCGTCGCGGCGGCCGCCGCTGCCGCGACACGCTAAGCAGAAGCTCCTGACCGTGGTTGACATGACCTCCTCGGGCGGGCCACACGGACATCCAGACGCCCGACGCTCGAATTGTTTCTGATGAGTGGACCCCCGGAGTTCTGGCCGACTTCCCCATGGGCTGGCTTTCCATCCCGAGTCAATTTGCGAACGGTCCGGGATTCGGGCAGGTTTACTTGCATGGACGGGGGGGGGGGGGCTGATTCTGAAGCAAGCCGAAAACAATTCGACGTGCGGAAATCACGCAGGTCGAAAGGCACTTGCACGCTCGTGTTCGATTGAAGAGGGGCGAGGGGGGAGGGGGGGGGGGCGAACGCCATGCAAGTAAGCTTGCCTGGATCCAAAGAAAAACAGGCACACTGGGTCAAAAACCGGGCGCTCCCATTTTTCCGGAGCCTCGGATCTCTGGGCCGTTGGCGTGACCTCCTCGGGAGCTCCCTCCGCGCCACCTCCGGCCGAGGCACCGCCGGAGCCGCCGCCGGGATGCCTCGACGAGCGGGGGCCCGGCGAGGAGGGCGCGCTTTGCGGCTCCGGGAGGGCGCGGGCCTCGCGGCCGTCCGACGCCCAGTGCCCCCTCCTCTTCTCCTGCTCCCTGTCCCCCGCTGCTCCATGCTCCTCGGCTCCCCATCCTGTTCCCTGTTGCCCCTCCTCTTCTCCTGCTCCCCATGTTCCCCCTCATCCCCGCTCCGTCCTGCTTACAGTGTGTATGTTGCCGCTCCTGGCCCGCCTCGTCCGTAGCCTCCTTCTCCTTTTCCCCCCGCTTCTGCTCCTTCCTACTCCTCTCACTTCCCTCCCTGGTTCCCCTTTTCCGCCCTCCTCCTGCTCCCCGATGCTCCATCTCCACAATCCTTCATTGCTTCCCATTTTCATTTGCCTCCAGACGAACCGTGTATCTTGCTTGCTGTTGTTGCTGCTGCTCCTCTTCCTCTCATTCGGAAGCAAAGACCGACTTCGAAGCTAGCGTGTGATTCGGAATCCACTGCCCCTCCGTTATGAGGCAGTTGTGCAGAGGACATCATGAATTAGTGAATTGTGTGGGTTATTGTTAGTTGTGCAGTTATACAGCTTGGTCGAATTAGTGAATTCAGTATGGGTCGGGCTTGAAGCACCTCGAAGAAAGCCGCCCGAATCGCAAGCATATGGCTATATGCGGACCGAGGACAATTTGCTACCCGTCGTCGTCCTCGCCCTTGCTCTGTCCCCCTCATTTCTCCCCCCCCCCGTGGATGGCGTCGAAAGCGTCCGCGGCTCGGGCGGGAGAGCGCCCCTCTCCATCACCCCCATTATTCGTCGTTCCTCTTTGCCTCCCTGCTCCACAGTCCATCGTCCTACCTCGGCTTCCCTCCTTGTTCGAAGAAGGGAAGTAAAGTCCCTGGCGTCGCGTGTCCGTGTCAGCGGTATATCGCCCTTTCGATATCCGAGCACAGCGGCGCAACCAAACAGAAGGGATTGCCAATGCAAGCGTCCGGGGCGCATCCCAAACGCGGGCGGCACGGCCGCCAAGCACAGTCGCATCGCTAACCTGTAAATGTATGGGTGCCTGCGGCAAGGTCCGCCCCCGTACGAGCACAACGTTCTGTATGGCGACGCGTGGAGCTTTGACTGTTAAGAGTTCCATGACCTGTAACACATTTTGGACTGCTGTGCGGGCTTCTTTGGGGTCCTTCGGGGCCCTTTTGGGATGTTTTGGGGCCGTTTGGGGCCGTTTTGGTGCCGCATTTCACCGTGGCCACCCGGGGCCAGGGAAGCGCGTATTTGCAGCTCCCTCGGGGCCGCCGTGGGTAGGGGAAATGTGTATTTGCATCCCCCGTGGCTGGGCACGTCGACCTCGGCTCTGGGTTGGCAAAGTCGGGGTGCCCTCGGGGTGGCGAGCGTTTACTTTTTCCGACATACATTGGTTAAGGGGTGATCAGTGTACACAGCTGACGTTTTCAATCGTGTATTTGCGTGTGTGGGCCCACTGTTTACACAGATCTTGAGGTGACCTGTGTAGACAAATCTGGTGCCCATCTGTGTATTTGGAGTGTGCCCCTCGCGGGTGGTTGTGAGTGGGCGGGAACTTCCACGTTTCTCTTTCAGCTGGTCCAGAGGGGGCGTTGTGCGCGGTCGAAATACACAGCTCGTGTGTCCAACTGCGCATATGTTGCGCGCCGCTCGCTGGAGCGGCCAGTGGTTGGGAGTTTCCGCGGGTTTCCCGGCTGGTCCAGGAAGGGGACGTGGTATGGGAGGGCAAAGGCGCGGGGGGGGGGATGTTCGGCTGTGGGAGGGAAGGGGTTCGACAGGAGGGGTGGCGAAGGGGCCGGGGATGAAAGGGACAGGGCGAGAGGCGAGAAAATGGACCCAGGAGGACCTGCATCATCGGTGTCAGCATCACGAGGACGAGGGGGGCTGGGGGGCAGAAGGAGGGGGGATGATGTGCACTAGGCCGTAGAGGATGGGAGGAGCGCGGGCATGTGGTTGATGGGGGGATTCATCTGGCGGAGGAGGACGACGAGGAACGACATGAACTGGCAGATCGGGAGGTATGCAATGAGAATGAGGGGCATGATGGGGATTGGGGGGAGTCAGAAAGAGGGACATGAGGAAGGTGGGGCGAAAGCGAAGGGATATCGGGAGGAGGCGGGTGGGGCATGAGGATGAGGAGGGCGCTGGCTAACGCTCAGCTGGTCGGTGCTCTGAGCTCTGCGTGTTCGTGTACCCCCCAGAACACAGCGATCGGTTGCAGAACTTCATGATTTGGGTAGTCGTGCGAGCCCTACGTCCAGGCCAACGGCTCAAGTCCACCAGGCTCTTGGCGTCGCGTTGATGCCGCCCCTTTTTGGCCAGACCGCATATGCACACATCGGCAGAATCGTCGTTGCAACGTTTGTTGCATGACCTTCTCCATAGTAACAAGCCCACGTTGGAATCCAACGTGTGATGTTAGAAGTGCTCGAACGTTGAGATCCTTCAAACCAGACTTCAAGGTCGTCCTGCCGAAGGGCCCTGGTGGCTTCTCGGCGGCACCGGTCGGCGGTACCCGAGAGCGCAGTTTGGACCACAACTTGAGCGGACAGCAACCAGTTGCCATTCCGAGCGTTTCCGTTCAGACATACCGTCTTTTACAAGCAGCAAAGAGCGGTAATCTTAAAATATGCCCTCTCGAGCGCAGTATTCGTTCAGCCGAACGCAACTCAACTCAATTCCTCTCCCTCCTCCTCGTCCTCCTCCTCCTCCTCCTCCTCCTCCTCCTCCTCCTCCATCCCCTGCTCATTCGCGCGACCCTCATGGAGGTCGGCCTGATGATCCTGCAAGTGCGCCGATCCCGGCGGACTAAGCACAGCAAAACTGCCATTCGGGGATGCCTCGCGGACCGCGCAGGCCAGAGCAAAGAACGCGCACTGCACACGCGAGCTTGGGGGCCCGATCGAAGGGCCAACTTCCCCACGTTGTTAGGTGCGGCCAGCTCACACGCCCAAGTCGGCGTCCTGGCGGGATTTCGGGGGGGGGTCCAAAGTTCCAGAGCCACCCGTGGGGCTCCCATGGCTCAGATACGCAATTCCGAAGAGCGCAATCCTCGGCCCCCCCAACGGAAGCATCTGCGACCTGTGCCTCCCAGCGATGCCCCGCATGAGGAGGAAGAGCAGCAACGATGAGGGGCAGGAAAACGAGGAAGATATCGACTGGATGGGGAGGAGCTGGGGCAGGAGGAGCACCTATAGGAGAAGGATGAGTATTCTCGCTGGAATAGGCCAGGTCGGCGGCGTGGTCCCTGAGCGGTCAAGCGGCACCCGGATGCCCTCGGCACAGCCACACTCGGGGCCTCGTGCACGGCACGCGGCGAGCAGAGACGAACCCAGGCAGTGAGGTTTCGGCCAGATTTGCTTTTCTCGAAGGAACGAAACCAATAGGGGGAGCGGGGGCGCTCCTGGTGACGACGACCGCGGACGACCTGCGCAGGAATCCTCTTCATCTTGCTTCCTCCCTCCTCCTCCGCCTCCCTCCTCCTCCTCTCCTCCTCCCTCCCTCCCTCCCTCCCTCCCTCCCTCCCCTCCTCCTCCTCCTCCTCCTCCTCCTCCTCCTCCTCCTCCTCCTCCTCCTCCTCATCATCATCCTCATCCTCATCCTCATCCTCATCCTCTCTCCTCCTCTCTCTCCTCCTCCTCCTCCCCCGCCCTTCGCTCGCCTCGGCCTTCTCCCCGCTCCAGTCCGTCCCTCCGTGTGCTCAGGCCTAGGAAGCGTGATTCTCTCAGGGTTGGCGCCCCGTCGCGGCCCTGGCGGCTCCGCATCTCCGCCAGGGCGACAACTTTCCCTCTGAGGGGCGCCACCCTCTGAGGGGCGCCATCCCTCAGACGTCCTCCTCCTCCGCCTCTTCCTCCTCCTCCTCCTCCTCCTCCTCCTCCTCCTCCTCCTCCTCCTCCTCCTCCTTCCTCCTCCTCTCCTTTCCTTCTCCTTCTCCTCCTCCTCCTCCTTCTCCCCTCCTCCTCCTCCTCCTCCTCCTCCTCCTCCTCCTCCTCCTCCTCCTCCACACTCTCCTCCTCCTCTCCTTTCCCCTCCGAGGAGCGCCATCCCGAACCTTCGCTCCGACTTGCGAGTTTCTTCCGCTCGGTGCTGTCCTGACCTCATCCTCCCCCCCCTTCGCTCAGGTCATCGGACCGTGTCTTGGGCGATCGTGGCGGAGGCCTTGCTCCCTGGCAGGCACCCAGTGTGCCAGAGACCCTTGAACGGGCCACGCTCCGGGGTTTGCGGCGTCCACGCACAGGTCTCTCGATTGGGCTTCCCACAGTTATCCGCCCCCAATCCCACAGTCCCTCCCCGGAAAATCAGGCCACTCAGAAACGAGGGGGAATTCGGGGATGCACCTTCAGAAGGCTATCTGGACGCACCCCCATCAGGGATGGACGCCCCGCCCATCGTATATCCTTGAGTTGGGTCCCGAATTGCGCGTCCAATCGAACACCCCGCATTGTCTGGGGTTGGGGCCGCCATGTTGTCCGTTAACACGCTGCCCGCTCAGACAGGAACTCCGAGGAGCGGCGTGTAGCCACAATCTCGAGATGTCCAGGCGCAGGGCGAGCGCTCGAGGTGGTGGTGCTCAAGTACATGTCCAAATCGGCATACTATGTACTGTGGCGGCGTGCGTGGAAGAATGTGCCCAGGAGGCTTCAGGCCCTGGAAGATTCCTCCTCTAATGAGGTCGTCGGTGATGTCCACGGCCAAGCCTCGATTGGTGTTCCCCCGGTTTCCAGTCCCTTGGTTCTTTATCTAAGGGTTTCTTATCGAATGCCCCCGCCGTAGTTCACACAGGTCTGTTCCGAGGCATTCGGAAGGATTTGCCTGCAGCCATGTGTCAACGTGGTTGGAGACCAGCGTGTGTCTTCTGGTGGATGCACGAGTGTGAGACTTTTCAGAAGCGTTCCAGTGGTAGCCCCATGCCCCATGGGTGTCTTTGCGAGAATGCAACACATGCGCGTTTCCTCAATTGAACGCTTTCGCAGCAGACATGCAGTCTGCGGACTTGGGCACCCGTCCAAAAGACGCGATGTCAGGAAAAGAGGGCTGGAGGGGGATATGTACCATTTGTCCTCCTCGCCTGCTGGATTCCATCTGCGGGCCAGCATGTGCCAGTTCTTTTGTTGGCCCCCCGTGGGGGGCCCGCAGCAGAAGCGAGAGCGAGGGGAGGAAGAGGAGGCGCGATGGTCTTGCAGAGGAGGGGAACGGAAAGGGAGGATGGGGAAAGAGGAGACCTTGACTGATGGGTGCCGGCGGGGAGGGGTGCGTTGCTCCACGATCCTGCTCTGTCCTACGCTGGCTCTTTCTCCTTTTTTTCTCCCCCCCCCGTCTCTCTTTCAGGCCGGTTTGAGCTATGCTTAGGTTCGCCTCTGCTGCTCGATTTGACGTCTTGGCAGGATCCCTCCCGGGGCACGTCGGTCAGCCAGCGTCTCCAGAAGCAGCGGCGTTGCGCGCGGCACCTGCGCACGTCGGCGCCAGCGGCCTTAACCAAGACCACCAACCGTTTCTCTCTCTCTCTCTCTCTCTCGTTATCTCTCTTTTGTATATGTGCATATGCATTTATAGCCATACGCACCTATGCCAACTTGTATATATATATATGTATATAGTTATACTCATATATGTGTATGTAACACGACTGCATTGGCGCTTCGCGCCATGCATCTTGTTCTTTGTAGTTTCGAATGCAAGCGGCGTGCGTGCGCGTGGACATGGGGCGGGCCACCGCCAAGTCGGAATGAGTGAGGTGTTCCTGAGCGGGAGCGACTGGATAACACCAGCCGAGGTCATCTCAGTGCGTTTCGGGGCCCAGAGGCGCGAACATGTCTCGGGCAAGTGGTTGGGCTAGCGCGAAGCAGGGCATCCTCCTCCTCTTTCTCCTCCTCCCACTTTCCCTCCTCTTTCTCCTCCTCATCCTCATCCTCTCTCTCCTCTCTTCCTCTAATTCCTCCTTCTCCTCCTCCTCCTCCTCCTTCTCGTTCTTCTCCTCTACCTCCTCTTCCTCCTCCTCCTCCTCCTCCTCCTCCTCGTCCTCCACCTCCTACAGGACATGCTATTTTCGGCATGCGCGCTGCTGGGCTGGAACCCATTGGGAAACCAATGTTGTTCGCCTTCACATATTTCGCGTATGATCGGCTCTTGTGGCGTCAAGAGAGCCCCAGGACGGCTCCAAATGAGTCCCCAAACGAACCCCAAAGGGGCCCAAGGCTGGCTCAACAGGGCCCGGAGAGTCGGAAATCAGAGAAAACCCCTTGGAAAAGCAATGTGTTCGGTCTTCTCGCCTTTCTTTTCGGGTTGGTTCGAGAGGCGTCAAGATGACCCCAGGATGGCTCCAGAGAAGCGTAAGCTGAGGCCCGCAGAGGCCCAAAGCTGGCCGAAGAGGGCCCAAAGAATTGAAAACCCGTGACAATCCATTGGAAAATCAAGGTATTTGGTTTTCTCGCCTTGTCGCTCCCGACGAGCTCTTGAGGCATCAAGATAGGCTCAGGACGGCTCCAAATGAGCCCCCAGACGAGCCCCAAAGAGGGCACAGACTGGCCCTAGGCGGCCCGGAGTCAAGATTGCCCCAAGATGGCTCCAAAGAGGCGCAAGCCGAGGCCCACAGAGGCCCAAGGCTGGCCGAAGAGGGCCCAAATAATGGAAAATCACTGAAAACTCATTGGGAAATCAATGTTTTTGGCCTTCTCGCCTTTTCGCTTACGATTGGCTCTTGAGGCGTTAAGATAGCCCCAGGACGGCTCCACATGAGTCCCCAAACGAGCCCCAAAGAGGCCCAAGGCTCGCCGAAGAATGCCCAGAGAATTAACATCAATGAAACACTATTGTAGAAAAAAACCGTGTTTTTGGTTTTCTCGCCTTTTCGCTTACGATCGGCTCTTGAGGCGTCGAGATAGCCCCAGGACGGCTCGAAATGAGTCCCCAGACGAGCCCCAGAGAGGCCGAAGGCTGGCCCAAGAGGGCCTGGAGAGTCGAAAATCAGAGTAAACCCAAGGCGCAGGACAGGCCCGAGGATTCGAAATTCGTTTGGGGGGGGGGGTCAGGGGTGGTGCGCTGTTTCCGGGGCCCCCGGCGGGTCCCCTGCCCTATGAAAATGCATGAACAGGAATACACACGATTCATTTCTAATTCTTCGAAAGTTCTTTCATTTCTTGGGTGCGAAGAAGTGTTAATGTCTAATTGTTATCCTGGGCCTCTTCCTGGACACTAGGGGGCCGGGAACAATTAGAAACGAGCACATTCAGAAATGAGCACGATTAGCAATGAACGACTTGTACACACATGTATGTATGTATGTATGTATGCATGCATGCATGCATGTATGTATGTATGTATGTATATATATATATATATATATAGATCGGTGTATGTATGCGTATGTGTATGTGTATGTGTGTGCGTGTATCCGTTGTTTATGCTACCTTCCCCTCTACCCACACTGTGTACGCATTCTCCCACCGTCATATCACCCCTATACCTCGGTGCATAAACAGCCTGTGCTGCCCGGAAAAGAGTACGCTGCCAGATGCCCATCGGCGAAATTCCAATCATGCGTCCGCGGAAGTCCTGCGTATCCGTCTTTTCCGCCTTCGGGAGCCTCGCCTCATACAACTCGATGTTCGACTTGACCACAGGGGACCACTTGCAGGTCGGCTGTTCTTATCTTTGGTGCCATTTCTTGCCATCGCTGCCTTCGATGCTCTCCCCCGATGCTCTCTGTGTCCCAGATGTACTCGTCTCTCCGCGTTCGATGCCTCATCATGCTCTGGCTCACGATCGAGCTCGCGCACAGGTTGGCCCAAGAAAGGCCACAGCCAACCAAACAACTTGCGCGCACATACCAAACATACGATCGACATGCGAATGCGGCGGGTGCACCAAAAAACATTGGTGGAACTGAGTGTGGAACACCCTTGAAAGATCAGGGGGCGCTTCAGAGGCAAGGAGCGATCCCAATCGTCAGCTATCGCGTGGCGCTGCACGACTCTATCGATATCTGAACTCCCGACCGATCTCTGAAGTACCGGCACGTTGAGCAATGGAATGGCCACGTCTTCGTGAACGGAAATGCACATCCATCCCTTTGGTTTCACAGCGGGGGTGGGAATATCGAGGGCCCATATGTGGTTGATGTGCTATTGTGTTCGTGGCGATGTCTAGACATGTTGTGGCCAGGACCAGTCAGAAAGAAGGCATGCAGGTCCAGGACACTGGAAGGCGACGCTCGGGGTTACTTTCGCTGCCGTTGGTGCGATGGTGCCCGTTGCTAAACCGATATTTCCTTTGTTCGAGGACTCATGTCGCCAGGTTTGTTTGGGGCGAGGGGGAGTGTGCCTGTCTCAGATGAGACATTGAAGTACAGTGCGATTCAGAACGTCGAGGCCCAAGGGAAAGAATGCATATGCCATTTTCTCACGCTGGCCTGGTCAACACAAGTCATCGTAGCGATCATGAGGGACAACTCCTTAGCGACAAGCTGTAAGGGTAGTCGATGCAATGAGGCAGTTGTGCAGTCTTCCTCCTCCTGGTCCTACTCCGTTTGACGTTACTCGGACAGACCCTCCTCCTCTTCTTCCGCCTGCATCTCCTCCGACAGTAGAGCGCTTGGTTCGCGATTCCCCTGGAGGGAAGAGGAGGGAAGAGAGAGGAAAAGGAAAGGGAGCGGAGGGAGGAGGAGGAGGAGGAGGACGACGACGAGGCTTGGGATGGGAAGAAGGAAGACAGACCAGGAGCAGGAGGGGGAGGAGAAGGAGCAGGATAGGGGGAGAAGGACTGGACGAGCAGGAGGGGGCGGAGGAGGAGGAGGCCCTGAAGGACCAGGAGGAGGAGGAGGAGCCTCCCTCTGTATTCCCCCTTCCCCAATCCAGCTCAGGAGGTTGGCCCCGCGGTGCCCATTGCGCTCTACCGCTTCCAGGACAAGGCGTCCGACAAGAGGCTCTCTCCCGGCACGGGCGGCCGCGCTCTCAGAGGCGGTCGGACAGGGCCCGGACCAGCGGTCCTCGCTCCTCTGCCCTCGACCTTCGGCCCTCGCTCCCTGCCGGCCTGGACCCCGGGAGCGCCAGGGCTGCACAGTGCCCACTCCTCATTCTCCGAAGGTTCTTCGATTCTCTGATGGGGGGGGGCCAAGAGCCTCTCATCTCCGATTCTTCTGTCCTGGGCCTCTCCCTGGCCACTCGGGGGCCAGGAACGGTTAGAAACGAGCACAGTTAGAAGTGAGCGCGATGAGACACGAGCGACGTGCACGGGCAGGTGGGGGGAACGGCGGGCTCCTGTCGTGTCTGCGCGGCGGCGGCCCCAGCGCGCGCGCTGGAGCGCCGCCCGTGGCCCGGGCTCGGCCGCTACCCGCTGTCGCACGGGCTGCGCTGCCGGAAAGCCGCGACCGTTCGATGTCGAAGGAGCCGCGCGGTGCCAGGAAAGCAGCGCCTGACGTCGTCGCGACGCGGACCACCCTGGCCCCCCTCCCACTTCCTGGGGGGGGGAGGACGGCTGGCTGCCCCGTCCCGCGCGCCCGCGCGCCGCCATCTCCGCCCTTGAGGGTCGAGGATCGAGCGAGGATCGATCCTCGCTCGGTCCTCAACCGCCAGTCCTCCCCAGACATCCGGCGCTCTGATGTTGTCGATACGTTGGTCCCAGGAGGGCTGGCTTTTCGTCCTGGGTACTTTTGTGACAGTCGGAAAAATGAATTCCCCGAGATCCGATGTTGCGACGATTTTCAACGTCACACAAATCGCGACCACAAGCCAGGACCCCATCTTTCTATTGCATTTTTCGAGTCTGATCGATCTGTAATGGCTGGGGGCTATGAAGGCGAACGTGCCCGGTGTGAAAAAATGCAACGCCCAGATCCCACAGTTGTTCATCGCCTTGGCTGGGTCCCAGACATCTGGCGTTCCAATGTTCCGATGCATGTAACCGCTGAGGTCTGGACAATTTCCCTGGGGCCGTTTTTTCGCCCAGAGTCGTTTTTTGACGGCCCCGAGGCCTGTTGAGGGCCTCCAGAGGCAGAAAATAATGCCAAAATTGCGGCTTCAATTCTTTTGGAGCCTCGGATCTCTGGCTATGCCCCTCCGTTGCCCCTAGGCTTCCAGGGCATAGCTCGGATCTGCGGTGGCCGTTCGGGGAGAATGATCGGTATGTGTTGTGTTTATTGTAGTGGCCTCCGGCCAGTTCCGCCGATCCGGGGTGCTACCGATTCTGCTTGCAACGAAAGACCTTTTATGTTTAAAAGAAGAGCACTCGCTCGAGACATCCTCATAAGATAGAGATGTTGAACTCGCTTGGGCAACCGTCTGATATTCGAAAGTGACGATCTCGCGTGAACAGCCAAACTCATGGGATGTCCCCTCCCGCCTTCCGGGCTTGAATGGCGTCAGCCATGGCGTCAGACATGGCGTCAGCCATGGCGTCAGCCCCCCCCCCGACGTCTCCCTCCCAGGCCTGAATGGCGTCAGCCATGGCGTCAGGGCTCCTTCCCTCCCCCCCCTCCAGATCCCCCTCCCGGGCCTGAATGGCGTCAGGCATGACGTCAGCTCCCCCCCCCCCTCATCCCGACTTCCTCCTCCCGGGCCTGAATGGCGTCAGCCATGGCGTTCCCCCCCCCCTCCCCCCCCCCTCTCCTGCCCATGGCGTTCCCCCCTTCCATCCCCCCCTCCTCCCTCCCGGGCTTGAATGGCGTCAGCCCCCCCTCCCCTCCTCCCTCCCGGGCCCCCTCCCGGGCCTGAATGGCGTCAGCCCCCAGTGGATTCCATTGGAATTCGTCTCCCCCCCTCCGGGGGTATGTGCGTTCAGTGAATTGCGGTGGAATTCGTCCCCCCCATCTCCAGAGTTTGTGCGTTCAGTGAATTCCGTTGGGATTCGTCCCCCCCCCCTCCATAGCGAAGCGTCCCCCCCAACCTCTCCAGAGCTTGTGCGTTCACTGAATTCCGTTGGAATTCGTCCCCACCACCCCTCTCCAGAGCGAAGCTTGAGCGAGCTCTAGCCCACGCTCCCACAAACTCACACGCCGGATCGACGGATGTATTTTGTTACATTTTCTATTTTTCATTGTTTGGAAAAGTACAATAATCACATGTTCAATGACATGTTTAGCATCGACGTGACTTGGGATACACAAGATGGTGGAGTGTTTGATGAATTCAGATATTTGGAGACGATCCGGGCATCCCCGACGAAACGCTCTGGACGAGGTGCAGCCGTTGGAAGGCACCCAGAGGCTGGAAAACCACCGAGAACCGACGAAAGCGCCCGAAAACCTCGAACCTCGAGGCCACGAACCTCGAACCTCGACCGTCTGCCTCGAACCTCGCAGCCACTGACCGGCCGCTCCCATCTCCGTCGGAGCCTCGGAGCTCTGCGTCGGCTCTGGCCGCCCGACACCTGCGATATCCTCCGAGGGCCGCCCGGCTGGCCGAGGGCCTCCGAGGGCCTCGGACGTGTCGGGCGGCCGGAGCCGGGCGGGCGGCCGCGCGAGTGGCCGAGGGCGCGGCCCGCTTCTGCCTCCGGCGGCCCGCGCCCCGCTGGAGCGCGCCCCGGAGCCTTTATCGGCAGGCGCCGACGCACGGCCGACCTCGCCACGCGAAGCAGGGGCCAGGGACCGAGCGGCGAGGGACGGAGCGGCGCCTCCCCCCTTCCAGCGGGCGGGGGGGGGGGCCGGACCGAGGCCACAACTTCAGCTTCCTCGCGCCGGGCCCCAAGCAGAAGTTGACCAGCCAGGACTGGGTGACGGCGCCGACGCCGCATGGCCCATCGCCGGCTTCGCTGCAAGGAGGCAAAGCCGCAAAAACATAGAATGTCGGAGCTCTGCGCGGATTCCTTGGATGTGCGCGGGCCCCCTTAGCGTCGCCTCTGGCGCCGCCTAATGGCGCGACAATTTCCCTGTTTTTCACTGTGAGTCGTGTTTTTGGCGGTCCCAGGGCCCGCTGGGAACCCCCAGACGCCAAAAACGGCCAACATGATCGACCCACGAACCCGGAACGGAATTTAGAAACGCGAGCATGGCTACGTTTTCAAGACACGTGACTGGGCGCCAGGCGATTGAAATGGTGAAGGGATCGATCGTGATGTATCGTGCCAAAGATTTTGCTGTGCTGTGCCGTGCTTAAACGAGATGTGTCATGCCGCAGTGAAATGTGTTGTGGTCTATAGTGTTGTGGAGCAAGTCGCCCTTGGCATCCGAATCCAGACCGAACTGATCTGGATCTTGAGCTCGAGCTGCCTGAAAGCAAAGCTTGCCCAGAATTGGCTGCAGACGTAACGTGTGGGACGCTCCATCAGCTCGAGCTCAAGAGCCGATACAAATCCGAAGCGGGACGAGACACGGGGCGCAGATCGCATGGACGCGCTACGGAATGTGCCAGGGGCGCACTAGGGGATGCGCCAAGGGACGTGTCAGGGACGCGCCACGGAACGGGCAGGGACAGCGCCAGGGGACAAGCCAGGGAACGCGACAGACGACGAGCCAAGGGACGGGTCTAGGTTGGAGGGGCATACGCCGTCCCGCTCTGGGGCGTTATGTAGGAACCATGTGTTTTCACACATGTCCCGTTTTGGGGCGTTAGGGCCCACATGCTTTCGCGTGTCCAGGCCACCCAGGGACGGATATCTCACACGTGGCCGTGGTCGTGACATC